GGGTTTTGCCGCGAGGGTGGCTCCGCCCCCCGCCCGGGCCTGGCCCACGAGCCTCGGGCCGGGCTCGCGGATGGAGGGGCTGCGGGCCACACAGCAGCCAACGCCAACGGCAGCTACCCCGTCACCCAGCAGGTCGCTTCCTCCCAGTGACTTTCCCAGCCATCGACCGAAAGGCCACTCCCGTTATTCTAATAGTCCCCTGTCAGTTCTTTCTGCCTCGTTATTCGCTACCCGTCTGCCCTAAAGGGCTCTGAGCTCCACGAGGTCGAAGACTGCGGCCTGGCACGAGCCTGGCACATACGTTCTCAATCTCTGCTGAATGAACGAATGTTTTAATCGATTTACGCTGTGCCGGGACGAGAGGCCTGGCAGGCTGCGGCTTGGTTATTTCCATCCTCTCCCGCCCCTCAGCAGCTTTGAGACGTAAGCTTTCTGGTTGCTCAGGGGTAAGGGGAGAGCTAATTTTGGGGGGCAGTATCAGGGTACTTTCCCGAAGTTAAGGCAGAGGAAGGTGGCGGCGGGAACTGTTTATAGGTTAAGAGTTCAAGCAGCCTGACAGAGGTCAGGAGAAAGTAACAGTTGCTCCCTAAGGTGAAGATTTAAGGATATGTAAATGAGGTTTTAAGCCGCCTTCCTCCTGTCTCCTTCCACCTCTTTCTATATATATATTTGGAGGGATCATTAATGGAACACTGACCCCTAACAGCCATCTCACATCAAATGAAGCAGTGACCTTGCTTGCCTGGTGTGGCATTTGGGTCAGGTCAAGCTAATCACAGATAATGATTAAACTAGCCACCTCTTCAAAAAGCCTAAGGAGTACCGTTCTAAATGTTTTGCATTTCTTATCCATTAAATCGACTTCAGGTGGATGTTATCCCCATCTTATGGATGAGGAAAATCGAGAAGATAAAAGTCCCACAGAACAAATTTAAAATTTCACCCAAGCTTGTTCTTATGTTGCACACACTGGCAGTGGTTTCTGCTTTCGCTTGGGGACAGCTTTCCCCTTGCTTACAGCTCATTCTGTTGGATTTCAAGACAAATGGCCAACTTGAGAAAAAAAACGGTAAGACAAATGAAAAAGTCGTTTTTGTGTATCTAAACATTTGCTTTAAGACATAAGTTACAATAGCAAAAACATTTTACTCCATTGCTTAGCATTCAGGAGGCTGGGAGGGGAGAAGGGTTGTGGAAGAACAGAATCAGGTAAATCACATTACAGCATAGTAAGCAGCAAATCATCTTTCAGCGGCCCCTTTACAAACTTTTCAGTGCTTCTTAAGGCTGCCACTGAACAAAACATGGGCTTTGAGCCCAGTACTGCACTCAAATGCCTACTCCCACTAACAAACTAAGTAATCTTAGGCAATTTTTCAACCCGATAAGCCTGTTTTTCTCACCTGTATTACAGAGACTGTCTTGTTACCTTCCTACTAAAGGTTATGAGGATTAAATGAGATACCCTCGTATGTGGCCCACCACAATTACTCAGAAAACATTAGTTCCCTTCCTTTTCCTTTACAAATCAGAACCAAGGACTATCAGTGCTTAGGACAGGTCCCTCAACTAAAGTTTGCACAAAAAACTGATGAGGAAAAAAATTCCATTGCGTCATGTCACATGATACACCAATGACATTTGAAAAATCTATACACCACTTTCATTAACACTGTATGCATGCACTTAGAAAAATATCAACATCACCAGAATTAAAGATTGTCCTCATAAGTAGATATAAACCAATTTAAGCCGCAGGATACATAACTGCCTCAAATGCCAAGAGTGGTTTTTCTTCTTCCCCCAAACTAGTTATATCTCAATATGGATGGAATTTCTCCCAGATATCTATGACCTTTTCTTTAGAAAGAAAAGCCAGAGGATATTAGAAAATAATAAGGGACATAGAAGGGGGGATTAATACTTTACAGACAGGTTCCAGGCAGCTAGAATTCACATGTGCTATTCATTTTGTCATGAAACATCAGTAAAGGACAAATCAGACTTTGTTTATTAAAAAAATACTTTACAGGAAAAAAAAACCTCTATGCATTCCATTGTCCTATTTTACAAAGAAATAGCTTAACAATTTAACACACTTAGACAGCTACAAAAAAAGCACTGTTAAAAGATTATTCACACAAATTTAGATTTAAGACTATTCATTAAAAACCTTTTTAAAACACTTGTTAATGTCAATAAACAAACTAAGGCCACACAACGCAAATAGTCCACCAGGCAAATTATACATTTCACCTATATGCAAAGACCTCTTAGATAAATTAAAGCCACAGGAAAAAAAGTCTTAGCTGCCAATCAAAATGGAGTTTAGTCACGAAAAACACTATTACATGAAAATTTACAACATGTGATAGAAGTAGTACATAAGTATTTCTTTAGAGAGAATTGAAAAGTGCTATATTAAGAGACAGTGGTCTCAACTACATGCACAAGTGGATCCTAAAAAATGTATGAAGAGAATGGAAGGCCATAATATTTATGAAGAGATACTTGCTTTTAAAGCAACAAACTTTCAGGATGAGGACAGGTCCCTTATATGCTAAAGAAAAACATGTCCTGTTCATTTCCTTTACTTAACTGCATGACCAATAAATACAGCTACAACCTGTTTAAAAAAAAAAACAACTTAGAAATATGAACCTCTGGCATGTACTAGTGAAAGGTTCCTTTTTTAAAAACTCTGTAACAATAAAAGATTTATTAGAAACTCAATTATCCTGAAGGTATAAACACAAATTTTTAATGGCAAATACAGATGAAAATATAATGGGCTAATATTGATGATCAAGAAGATATTCACTAAAGGTTTTCTTGAATTTGAATCCTTTTCCTAAATTAGCTTTTTCTAGGCAATATTTATAGAGGAAAAGGCAATAAGCAAAAGTTTCTCCAGTCATTAAGTATGAACTTTATGCCTATTAAGACTGATGCAAGATGATGCAAGACATCTTTTCCTAAGGTTTAGTATTTTATTTAATAAGCTCCTTTTTCTAACTGTTATCAAGGAGAAAGGGCACCTTTCAAAAGTCTTTAATTAAAAATAATAAAGTACCAGTGAAACAAATTGTTAAGTGCTGAATAACTAAGTTAAAAGTATAGTTAAACCTAAGAATTCATTTTTAAAGAGTTAAAACTTTGCAGGGGGAAACTCACATGTAGGGTTTTATTATTATTGCTTTATGAATTTGGAATACCTTTTGAATCATAATCCTACTCAGCGTATCTTGGTATAATTACAGAATGACTTCTGGGGCAGGGGGAAGACTTTTATCCTCATTAATGAATACTGTAAAATCATTCTAGTTACTAAGTTAGGAGTATTCATTTATTGGGTCCTTTCCATAAGCACATTTAAAAATATGTGCTCCACAAAACACTAAAACTTACAGCCACATTCTGCAAGTAATCTCAAAAAGCTGGCACAACAGATAACATATCAAGAAGGAAGATCAGCTTAAATTTCAGTTATAACTTCACTGCCATCACTACTTTACAAATCAGAAGACGCCAGTTTGCTCCATGCCTCACTCCACCAAACCAAATAATTTAATGATTTAGAAAAGCTGCAATCATTTGTATCGCTAGACTAGGATACAGCTTTGAAAGCAGTAAGAAACTCAACACTTGGGCTTTTATATTCATCAGTCTTTAAAGCATGCTATTAAAATCTAATACTCACTCACATAGGACATTTAGAGCTTCCAGATACATTACTAGCTAAATATTTCTCTCTCCATCCTATTGCAATTCTAACATACAATGAATTTATTAGTACATGATTTTAAACATTTTATACTCTTTTAATGTGTTTATATTGGAGGTGAGGGTAGAATGTTTTATTAAAGGAAAATGGGGATTTGCTTTTGATTGTAGGTCTTTGCAGATCCGCTGGTTCCTGAGTGGTTATACACAGTGCGGCTGTCAGGAGACAGTCTCCTTATTATCAGTGACCAGCTTAGATGACAGATGGCATCTGCTGGATGGCAAGTGGGGAAATCGGATCTTGGAAGACAAGAAAAATAAAAATAAAAAAGTTTTTGCTTTAGCAACCTTGTTGGTTCATGATTTTTTTAAAAAAGCAAATGTTGCCTGAGAAGAATTTTACTTTGCACAGCCTAGTAAAGCTCTATGAAATTCTTCTGGACAGAAAGACAAAAACCAGAAATAACCCAAGCCCACATACTTTGTGATTAACCCTCCCCACCATAACATAAAAACACCCTCCAAGGCAGATCTCTTAAAAACTAGTCTTGATAAACTAGAATTTACCCTAGAATTTATACCCAAGATTTAAAAACACCCCTGCAATAATCACATTACTTTTCATACCATTCTAATTACCTTATTTACAAAGATAACTAAAACCACCAACACTTTTCAATTCATAAATGGTTTACATTGAAATGTTTCTCTATTTGTCTTTATCCTTTTTAACAGAGAATACATACATTTACATATATATAAGGAATAATACAGATTCTAACTAATCACTGCAGTATTTGCTGATGGTTACTTTTCTATCGGTTTACACAGTGACCTCTATACTTTGCTAATATGCAATTAACTACACAACAATATTGCACAAAGTAATATTTATATAAGATTTAACCTATTTCAGAATATTTTAGAGAAAATTCGTATTTGATATTTTAAAAGATGCAGCTAAGTTTTCATGGTGACAGACATAATAAAGCAGCATCTTTTTTGCCTATGTTAATGTAAATATTTCAAATCCCACCCTCCAGGAAAAAAATCTCCAAATTGCACTATAGCCAGGTAGACGTAAGAATCTGGCCTTAGGTGTGGGGAGTACTCTTCCTTTAATAAACAAAAGGCCTATTTGTATTATTAACTAAGAGAAAGTATCACATTAACATTCTAAAATAATAGAAAGTTAAGACTACACTAGCTATATGAACTGTGCCTGTTTGAAAAAAAAAATTTTGAAACACTCAGGCACTAAGCGTTGGGCTACTTGAAACTCTATGAAGTCTAGTGCCATATTCTTTATTAAAGAAGTAGCAACACAGTAATAGTAAATAAACCCAGGTATATTCACCAGTTAAAACTGTGACTTGAAGTGTTTCAACGATAGATTTTTATCATTAAGAGGTTGAGGCCCGGTGACAAGAACTGTTTCCTAAGTTTCACCTACAAAATATGGCAACCTCATCAGAAAGATTGATTTCATCCTCTAATTTTGATACTCATGATCAGTATAAGGAAGCAAAAGTATCCACACAAAACGTGAGGATGCCAGGAAGCAGAACAATAGAGTATCGTGTCAACATTATCTCTCTTACTCAAAATATCTTCCATAGTTACCAAGTATTCTAGAAAGATTAATGAACCATGGATAATGAATGACCAAGGACTATTCATCTTTAGGTATTTTTAATTGAAATATCCACTGGGCTTTTAATAACAGATACGAAAAAAAACTGTTTGGATCGGAAAGTGCTGTGCTTTCCCTTTTGTTAGGAAACCAGAGAGCCACTGAATTTTCCTTAGAAACTACCTATTTTTTATGGTTGGAACTAAATAGCTTACTTGCCCATGTAGAAGATGCAGGAACTCTTTCCTGCAACGTATGCCATTTTTACTGTAGAAACTGAATGTGTGCCATAAAGACACAGTACTAAACCATAAATCTGATCTTCTATCATAAAAACAGCAAATATGGCAAGAGACAAGGCAAGATAAAATTAAGGGAAGTGAATAATTTAACAAATAAGAATCTGTTATTCCAGAGAGTTCTCATTTTGATTTGAAGAAGAGATTGAATTGTTACCTCACACCTTAAAACAGAAAGTAGCAGCAGACCCACTATTACATACTGTACTAACGGGATAAGATACAACTCTTAACTTTGCATAATCTGTGTAAAAAAGATATGCTTGACATTTGTGGAATGTCATTTCTCTTTATAGAATTATAGGCAAGATTTCTCCAATAAAACTTAACTTAAGCCAGTTATAAAACTATAACTTCACATCAAAATTTAAAAAAGTTAAAAAATGTGTTTGAATATGTACACATCACACAGGAGTGTTTGAATGTTCCTGCAGATTGTGTTGCTGGTCAGAATCCAGTCTACTTTCCACTTTTAAAACAGGGATAGGCTGAGTCATCTGATCTTGCTGTAGATTAAGTTCTGATGAAGGTGGGAAGGAGGACGAAGCAGTTGTCAAAAGCTGTATTTCTGTGCACGTTTCTTCAGGGTCGGTTTTTACCCTCACGCACTGGGAGTCCACTTCTAATTCTCGCTTTCCAGTTAAATCACCGTCCATGGCAGAACTGCTTTCTACATTTTGAGTGGCTTCCACAACAGGGTGGTACTGTTTAAGCCTTATATGCCAGGCCAAGCTGCACACGGCCGACACCGTTTTGAACTGATGAATGACATTTCTTGGGATGAAGTAGATATCATTGTCGCAGAGCTGAATTCTAGCATAACGAATGCCTTCCCGCCTCATTTGGTTTAGTTTAGCTTCATCCACCCACTGCACACACTGGAGAGGAAAAAAGTTGCATGAGACTTTAAAATATCTAATAATTTAGTCAAATAAAATATAATTAGCACAGGAAAGCAGTCACGACAAAGTACAGCTAAGCAATACTAAATGATATACAACTTTCTACAATTTCCTGTAATGCTTGACAAACAATTTCCCACGTTTTACTACCTCTCCAGTAAAAAAGGACATGTAAAAGTCAGGACGGCCTGGGGAATCATCCAAAGTAGAGATAAAGAGCAATGTTCTTGGCAACACAGAAGTGCGACATTTACCTTGCTCCTTCAGTCCCTCACACTTCTGCAGGTGAGGCATCCAGTGCAATGCGGTTAACGACTGAGACTGCTTGCGGCCAGAACTGAGCAGCCCGGGCCCTCTGAGCATCCCCACCCGGCATCCCCAAGGCTGAGGGATATTAAGCATTCTGCTCGGGAAGCTGTTTTAATAATGTTCAACACCCTCCACACACAGCCTTTAATAGTAATAAAATTAAATTCGCTATCCCATATACGCAATTATAAGATAAAATGCCAAATAAAATGGGTAAAGATACTTATTTCCAATATCCCAAAGAGTAATAAAAAAGCAAGAGTTGTTACCTGGGAAACCGGAGGTTCATGAAGGTCTAACTGAAGTCTCTGTACAACGTCAGCAAAATCCTCAGCATGAAAACAGATCACGTCTTTGGTTATGCGAGGTTGGTCACTCCTAAGATGAACACAGTTAAGTTATAGAAATAAGCAATTCACAGTGGAAAATGATGACACATTTCAGCTCTTCTGTTCCTGGAACTGCTATTAGCACAGAAAGAGATGCACAGCTCCTAAGGACAAAGTATACATTTGCTTCTTTAAATAACTTTAAAAAATAAACAAAGCACTAATAAAGCTGTTTTTAAAAAGATTAGGTTTTACAAAACTAAAACAAAGTGACAATCCTCTTACCACTTTGCCCCACCAACTCAATGCCACCCTGTAATGTTATCATCACGACAGAATCTCAGCCACACGAATGTCACACCTTCTAGTTTTCAAAGTGGAGCGGGGAAGATGAATGATTTTTAACCTGAAATAGTTATCGTTGAGCTATGACTAACTGCTACTTCTAAAAAAGGTCAGATCAAACTCTACAGTAATACTGAAGGCCTTGAAGTCATAAATATGAAAAACCAAGTTAAAAGAAGTTTTTTCAAAAGCTAAATTCTATGTTCTGAGCTCTGTTAAAACTGGACCCCAACTGGACGTAAAAAGGTGCAGCCACTATAGAAAACAGTATAGCAGTTCCTCCGAAACTGAAAAGTAGAATTATTTTATGACCTAATAATTCCACCTCTGAGTATATACACACAAGACTGGAAGCGAGAACATGAAGAGGTATTTGTTCATAGCAGCCACAAGATGAAAGCAACCCAAGCATTATACTTATATGCCACATTTTATTTACCCATTCATCTGTCAGTGGACAGATGTCAATGGACAGATGAATGGGTAAATAAAATGTGGCATATAAGTATAATGGAATACTCTTCAGCCTTAATAAGGAAGGAATCTGACACATAGTATACTATGGATAAACCAAGAGGCTATCATGAAACTTGAAGATACTATGCTAAACGAAATAAGCCAGTAACAAAAGACAACTGCTCTATGATTCCACTTATATATTTCAAGTAGTCAAATTCATAGAAACAAAGTAGAATGATGGTTAGTAGGAGCTAGGGGGAGAAGAGAAAAGGGAGTTATTGTTCATGGATACAGAGTTTCAGATTTGCAGAATGAAAAAGTTCTAGAGCTCTGTTTAACAATATGAATATAACACTACTAAACTACTGAACTGTACACTTAAAAATGGTTAAGATTTAAAAAAAAAAAGGTTAAGATTTAATTTTTAATTTGTTACATGTATTTTACCACAGTTTTTTAAAAAAGTGGTCCCCAACCTTTTAAATCGAGTCCACATTTTCTTAGACAACATTAACCAACCTTGCAGTTGAGTTCCATTAACTTACCATTCACCAAACTGCACAGCTTTCAAAACCCCAACAGCAGCCGTACTCTGCCAGTCAAACCCCTGGCCTACATGATCAGCATGAGCTCTTGTCCTATCTTCAAAGAGGACTTCACGGGGTTCACTGGTCCGAGGTAGGTACTGGAGATTTTTAATTTCATTCATTGACCTGGAGGTGATTTGGTGTGAAGTAAAAGATGGAGGACATTAATAGCAATAAGGTAAAAGTCTGCTAAAATACTAAACTTTAAATAAGGTAAGGGCTGAGAAGGTTTCAGTGACTTTGATCAGTAGCAATTAACATACTATATTGTAATGCTTAATGTGATTGCCTTCCTCTCTTGGTATGTCATGATAATATAGAAGCTATATCTTTAATTTGGCTCAAATTTAGTATTTGAATATATAAAATTAGTTGTGTAGCAACAGAAAATACAATTCCAACTTTGAGGCTCCATGTTTCTTTACCCTGAGTCATTTTCAACTCTCAAAACATTCTACTAGACTTGACTCAAGACGGCAAACTGAGCATCTATATGATCTCCTTCCACATTAAAATGAAAAAGCCTCCTTCACACTAATATGATATGGGTTGGGGAGAGTAGATAGGGAAATGGATGGGAGTACAGATGCAAAAGAATTGGCTGTGACTTGATAATTGCTGATACTGAATACATGGAAGTTTATTGTATTATCTTCTGCTTTTTTATGTGCTCAAAAATTTCTAAACATAATAATCTAAAGGTGAGATAAGAGAATAAATAAGAAGCAACAGAGGAAATAAACTGCTGAATACAAAATAACAACAAATTACTGAAAGATGGTAAATTATTGAAAGTGTCTTAGACTAATAAAACTGAGCAGAAAAAGCCACAGGCATAGAATACAAAAGAAGGGAAGCAGCTGAAAAGACAGCATGCCTGCCCAAAAGATCCTGGAGAAGCCCAAGTCAAAAAAATTTTAAAATGGCCAGGTATAATGATGATAATTGGACAGAAATGAAGTATGGCTTAGAAAGAGAGAATTACAGGGAAATTCTGCAAATAAACCAGTCACCTGCCACCCCGATGCATAGAAATGTGGACAGTCAGGCGTTTAGCCCCATGGAGAAGATTATGAGTGACCCACCCAGCAGCCGTCACTCATTTTTATTTTCCTGACAGAACTCTGATTTTCATTTGGCATCTGTTCCTACCCAATACGTGACCTCATTCACAAGCTCCAGAGGTACAGCCTCATGAGTCCTAGCGAATTGTGCTCATTCCCCTGCCACTGACTGATTTAGGAATGGGCATGAACTGATCCTGGCTAACAGTATGAAAGCAAATCTATTAAGGAGACTTTTAGGAAGTTTCCTAGATCCAAAGAAAGAAGTGAAATAAAGAAAAGGTAGTCTCTTCTTCTGTTAGGTATAACCAGATCCAGGTGTTATACCTAGAACTGCAACAGGCATCTAGCAACCATAAAGGAAGCCATTGTGAGTGCAAAAGTCTAGGCAAAGAGAATGGCAGAGCAGAAAAAAAAAAGGAAAAAAAAACTGGTTTCTTGATAACACAGAGTTGCTGATCACACGGTACCTAGAGACAACCTCTCTGGACTTGCTGATACACAGCTTGACATTTAATTTTATGAACCAGTTTGAAGATTTTTTTGTTGCTTGTAGCCAAAAGCATCCTGATGAACTGTCACCCCCCAAAACTCTGCATGTTCTTCTCTACACACACTGAACTTATCAATGAATAGACTAACATCTGGCATTTGGACATATTCTTTAATGTCCAGTTCTATGCCTGTTAACCCTAAAGTGAATCCTACTATTTGACAAGCCTCCCAGAACTGTATATAGAATGCTCAGTAATCCTAATGCTTTCTTTCTAAATAAGAATGGGTCAACCAAGAATTGCCAGATATGTGAAGACAGCCTACAGCAGCCTAACAGAGAAAGGCCAAAATAATACTGAAATTTAAGAATTCAAAAGAAAGGTTAAAAGGCAAAGTCAAGTAAATGTCCCAAAAGCAAAAAGATAAGTAATAGAAAATATGAGGATAATCAAACTGGGAGGTCTATTATTCAACCAACAATGGTTTCAGAAAGAAAGAAATAGAGAAAATGAAAAGATTACGAAAGCAATTAAGCAAGAAAAATTCCCAGAAATGAAAGGAGACATGAATCTTTATATTTAAGGGACCTACCAAACAACAAAAAGGATTAAAAATTAAGAAAGACCCAAACCAAGATAATATCACTGTGAAATTAAGCTTTCAGAGAAGAAAAAAAATAGGTACATACAAAAAAAAATTACAGTGGCTTAATATTAAGACTTTTGATAAACCATATTAGATACCAGAAGACAGTGAAGCAATGTTAAAAATTCTTAGAGAAAATATCATCTCTGGACTCCAGCTAAACTATCAATTATATTTAATGACAGAAAAAAAATTTTATGCACATAATGACTCAGAATACCTTCCTCTTCTTGATTACTTGAGAATGTGCTCAAACAAGAGAAGGAAATAAACCTAGGAGGACAACCTTGGGTTAATGCAGAAAAGCATTAAATGGCAAGTCCTAGGTTGACAACTGTGAAATAAGCTTTCACATTGAAGTAAGAGAACACAGAGCTCCAAAAGACTTCCAGGTAAAAAAGTGATGTGTGAGAGCAGATAGTATGATTAAAATTCTGGATTCTTGAGGATATGATAAAAGCACAGAGTGTAAGGTAATTACCAATACTCTTGCCCCAAAAGAGGCTGTGTAAGAAAGCCAGAGCTGAAGTCATAGTCACAGAGGAGAAAGTCAGTGTGATTCAAGGAGAAAGTAATGTATGCATCTTAAGCATCGGAATAGACGATATTAGAGATATCGTCAAGAAAAGTGTATGCTCCCCCTGCCCCCGCCAAAAAAAAGGGGCAATCAGAAACTTCAGGGAAAACAGAACATTTAAAAAAAAAAAATCAGCACAATCCAAATATGAAAGAAACTAAAATGTGGATGATTTTCAGTATCTAGGTTAAATATAGGAAAGAAAGATCCACTTGTGTATTATTCCTCTGAGTGATAACAAAATACTGGAACCTTAGAATATAGCCCACTATTTGAGTCTATAGTAAACTTATATTTATTGCCATTTATTTGCTTTCAAATTTTAGAATATACCTATTGACAAACCATAGAAATCCTAATTAGTTTTAAAGCAGAATAGATTAACCTCACCAATGTCTGAGCACAGCCAAAAAAAGGAAGACGGAGGAAGAGGGTAAAATAGGGGTCATTTAATTATTTGGAGAACAGGTGAAAGGAAGGAATCCCTATCTGTCATACCAAGAAATTAACAAATTTCCTGTCAAAGCCTTAAAACAAAACAGAACAAAAAGGCATTAAAAACAAATGTCTTTTGCTTCTGGCAAAAAAGTATTTGCCTCTGGAGGGAATGGTGGACAAGATTTTTGTTATAAACTCTCTTGTACTATTTGATTTTTAAAAACCCCGTGTATGTGTTTCTTTAACTCTAGAGTTCATAAATTCAAAGATCATCTTCAATAATAGTGCCCTTGATAACTGGACAACTTCTCACACTGATTCCACCATTTTCAGTAACAGAATGTTCTCATTAACACAAAAAGATGACATTCATGTTTAAGTTATGATTTATTCACTCTAGTTCAAAATGCTTCTGAATGCCTCACTGAAGAATATTTAATTTCTACAGAAATAAAATTTGAGAGCACCTCAGATTAGTGGAGAAATAAATTATTAAATACATGATGTTGTTATAACTGCCTAAGTACTCAGAAAAAATGCTAAATCTCTCCCTCTATACAGAAATCAATACCGGGTAGGTAAAATATATAAATACTAAAATCGCAGAAGTACTAGGAGAAAATGTAGGTGAATATTTTATAATACTGAATGAAGAGAAGGCCTTGCTATGCCTGCCACTTAAGAGAGAAACTTCAGAGGAAAAGGTAGACCTGACAATATATAAACAAAAATTTCATGAGTAAAGGAAAAAAAAAAAAGTGAGTGAAGAAAAAACTGAAGCTAAAAGGAAAAAAAAAGAAAAATTTACAACATATGAAAAAGAAGTTAATAGTCATAATATATAGGGAATTTTTACAAATGAAAAACACCCCAATAGAAATATGGATAAAGGAAATTAAAAGGGAATCACAAAAGAAGAAATACAAACCACTCAAAGAAAAGCAAATTAAAATTGTTCAATAAGATTAACAAAGTTAAAAAGAATGTTAGTGGAGAGTGTGCAGAAAAGGGTACTATCTTACTGTATAAGAAGGAGTATGATTTGGTACATTTCTGGGAGTCAGTTAGAAATGTGTATATACTTTGAGCCTTTAGGAATTTCTATTAAGAAAGCAAACATATATATACGCACAAAGACTATATGTATCTGCCTACCTACCAACCAGCCAGCCAGCCAGCCAGCCAGTGATGTGTTATATAACAACTGGCTACAGTGGGGAATGGCTGATTTGGGCTGATGTTCCGACTTCTGTGGTATAAATAAATACTCCTAGTCTATGGCCAATTTCAAGTGACTAACATGACCTTACTCAGTGTGGAACTGGAAGGCTAATAATGGCCTCGTGAGTCAGTACAAACTGGCTTCAGCACACCATCATGTTTGTCAAAATACTGTTTATACTGAAAAAATTAGAAACAATTTATACTAATAAAGAAATGGTTAAATAAATCGTGATACAACCATACAGTGAAAATGACATAGCCATTTAGAAATGATAATATGGCTGTATTTTAATATAACGCATAAACCTAAGAAAAAAAGTTTTAAGATCATATAAAGAATGAGTTAATTTATCTACAAAAAAAATTATGAGTACATATAGACTAAAATTTGAAAGGTTAATATATCTAAATGGGTGGGATTATGGGCATTTTCTGCCTTTTTACTTTTACCTATAATCTAAATTTTTAAGTTTATAATAATCAGGAAACAATGGTCATTTCTTTTCTACAAAGAATATAGAACAAAAAATATATATACAGTGCTTAAGAATTTAGAAGTTTAAGTTTCATCATCATGCTGTACAAGAACTGCTGTGGTCCAGCGATGTGCCCATGTTTTGGTTTACTGCCAGGTTTTACCATACCGCCACCTTGCATTCATATTAGTTTCTTACGAAGTGTTTTCATGCTATTATCTCAAGTATCTTAGGTTATTCCATACTTAACTCTCGTGTCATTCTCCTTAAGGTAAGGTCTAGACTTGTCCATTATAAATCATTGGGTACTTATTTTAAGTTGCTATTTCCACAGGCTAAACAAATAGAAATCATTTTCAAATATCATTAAATTTTCATAGAACAAGTTAATCAACATTTATTGTGTCTGAAAAACAAAATACGTTAGCCCAATATGAATTATTATGGAGAATAATACATTATTGGTTTCATTCAGCAAACACTGATCACCTGCTATGTGTCATGAAAACAGAAAGACTAAAATTTAGTAAAACACAAAAACATGTAAACAGATGATTATTGAACAGAGTGATGTGTGAGCCCAGAGATGGAACAATTAATTGTATAAGGGAACAAAGAAAAGAAAGCTTCACAAAGAAAGTAACAACCAAGTAAAGGTTTGAAAAGCTACTAAGAGTTTGCCAGGTAGAGAGGCAGATGGAGGGAATGCCATTCCAAGTAAAAAGAACGTGCAAAGGCCCAGAGTTGTCAAAGACCCTCGTTTGGAAGCTGAATTCAGTGTGGCTGGAGTGGACTAGAAGCAGATACACCTAGAAGAGGCACTGCTGGGGCCAGGTTATAAAAGATCCTTACAGATCACACAAAGGAGTTTGGACTTTTATCTTTCAGGAGGTTAGGACCCAAGTTTTAAGAAAAGTAAAAATTCAATTTGTTTTTTAGGAAGATGCCTTACTCTGATGATTATGTGAGTCAACTGGACTAAAGAAATGACCACTGGATAATTTACTTAAGACAGCTCTTCAAAAAATCTAGACAAATGATGTTCAAACTATGCTTAGTTCTCCATAATTTTTTCACAAACAATTGACTGAAAAAAGTGCTTTTGCTAATTTGAGAAAAATAAATGTTTACCGTCGTCTTTTGAAGGGTGACTTTGGCATATCTGCTGTAGGGATCATCTGCTCCCCTGGCCTGACCCACATGATAGGCCCATCATCACTCTGGGACCTACACTGGAGTCGGAGGCTGGAAAGTGTACCCCAGGGCAAAGTCATCTAGAGTCAGATGAATGAGTCGCATTAAAACAATTTTTTAGACAATTTACAAGTAAACTTCCCACCCAAAAGAAAGTTCTAGGAAGCTTATTTTGTTTCTATATATGAAAAAATAAATGTTACGTTAAATAGTAATTTATACGTACAAAAGAAAATTGAAGCTAGGTATTCTGTACCAATAATTTTCTAAACATTTCTATTCAAAACACTGGGTAAAATTTCATTTTAACAGAAAAGATTAGCTTAATACTTTTTAATAAAAAGTGTCCCTTTTGATACTATGAATTAACACTCACTTTCAGAAATGGTGATTCTTCTAACATATCAAGGAACTCTGGGAAATAATCACCAACTTCTTCATCTACTGCTCCAACAAGACTTATCTGCCGCATAGGACCTGCGCGGTAGGTGCCACAGCAGTACGTCCTGTTGACCTGAGATAAAACGAAAGAGGGGGGAGAAAGGCTGAATTATACTGTAATATAATTAAATAGAATAGGGCATTATTTCCAATGCTGCTATTTCTTCTACATACTAAAAACTCAATGGTCAAATTCAATGGTCAGTACCTTGGATAAAATTAACAGTTACAGAAAAGTACCCTAGCACACTGACAAATACATTGATATGATATATGCCAAAAATAGAAATTTCAAAGTGCAAGTTAGTCTATGGTCCCAACATCTCAAATAAATACTGAAAATATTAGGATATACTTAAAACTTTTCTGAGAATAATGATCTTTGAACTTTATGAACACTTTAAAGTGATCTTTACTTAGAAACAATCGGTATAAACAATAAAATTGGCAAGGCAGGCAGAAAAATAAAAGACCACGGTCAGATCAATCTTCCAAATTTGTTTTGTACTCCCCAGCTTGACAGCCCTCCCATCAGGCCAGAAACCAGGCTGACTATTCCCAAACCTAACCTCCCACTACTAAAGGTAATATAATGCCTACTTCCTTATAAGATCCTCTATGCTAAGTAGGCTGATCTTTTTCTCTACCCAGCTTATGCTAAACTTATTTCTACCTGCAGTGATTTTTCTCTTGAATCTGCCCTCTTGGAATGTCCTCTTTTCTGTCAACCCAAATCTTATCTATCTTTCAAAGGTCAGTTCAAGACTTCTGTTCTTCTGGAAGCCTTCCTGATCACCCTTCATGATCTTTACCTTTTGTGAGGTCTAATGTTACCTGCAAGCACATAAACATTTTCTCTTTATTAACTCTTTAGTGAATTTAGGGCACATTCTATACAAATCTGCAGCCTGGAGAATCCTATCACTCAAATGAATCTACCAACTGATTCAATACAATTTGATATTACTCTTTTAGTCATTTCATGTATGTTTTATACTGCTACCTCCAATTTAGAATGTTTCCAAAAGTTAGAAACAGATCCTGTGCATACAGACAACTAGCCTAAAAATGTTGGATTCTAACCAGGATTTTCACCTTAAATCAGTAACCTAGCATTTCTGCCTTAATTAAGATACAGATTAAATTGAAAAGCTTAACATATAGTTGTACCTTTGTAAGTGGGTCTCTCTTAAACATTAAAAAATAATAATAAATTGCTACTGTTTTAAATGCCATCTATTTTGCTAGCATTTCTTACACAGTTCTTTACTAGTAGACTTCTTTACCAGCATTTTCAGAAACTCACTATTTTTTTCCATAGACAATTTAACATTACTGCCACACATACATGCAGAAAAAAGGTCTTGGATCTTGTTCTCAAATAGGAGGGACTGATTTCTTAATTCTTTACAAACTTTCCCCCAAGGTTACCCAAGGTCATCAACAGCCTAGATCAGAATTACCTTGCATCTATTTGCATGAGCTACCTTCTATTCTTTGTATAATCATCATGCTATAAAAGCTAGGGGAGGCAGACTGGGAAAGAAGATGGTCATGGGATATAGAGATAAAGAAGGGGAAGTAAGGGACCTTTTCTAAAAGCATTATTCTAACTATTCTAAGCCAAACACCCTAAAACGATTAAAAAAAGATTTAACCTTCATTACCAGTTCTTGGAATTGTATGTGTTCAAGTGTAATAAGAAATAGCAAGTGTAAATATATATATGCCTTACTGTTAAAGTGTACAACTGAAACTTACTGGATTTCATTAACCAATATCACCATAAATAAAAAAAACATAGAAATAAATAAGAAATATCAAGTCTCTCCCAAATACCTCTTGCAACGATCCCCAATTATCAGAAATTCCTTTATCTAAAAAGACTTTCAAACTATACATGATGGTGGCAATTTATGTGAGAAATATCCTAAAGACTTATCACAATTTAAAACTCATGTAACTAAAGACCAGTCCTGAAGAAGTGTACTGCCATGTGGTAATTTTCAATTTATTTGGTCTGCTAGTTTTGAGATTATGTAACTTTTAATGCATTATTAATTTGAAGTCATTCACATTAAATTATGTACACAAAGTGAGACTGAATTAATAATTTTATATCATTATACTCCAAGTTTACCTAATTTAAATACTTAAGAGCACTGAACTTGAAGACAACTTAAGGCAAATACCTAGGATAATTAATATGGTATGAATAAATATAAAGCATCCCTTCCTGTTTGGAAAGAGAAAGTAAACCTAAAAAGGCGAAGTGTTAAGATGATGTTTGATGAGGCTAGAAATGAAGCAATCAGCGATTAAAGTCTGCCCCCTCTAAAAAAAAAAAAAAGTGACAGTAGCAAAGCTTATTAAAGAATGTCTATCACATGAGTAAAAAAAAAACTAATAAGTGCTAATGTTTGTGGGGTATCTAAATAATTAACAGCATAGGTTTAAGATGGACAGCATTTATGACCAGAAATTCAACAGGCACCAACTATATGTGACACTAAAGTCAAACTAGCAAACTACAAATTATCCCCCAGTATCTATTCTACCCTTCTTTTAAGTAAAAAAACTTCCTGGGCGCACAGCTGAGCTAGGCTCCTTGGCAGCAAGTGTAGCTTGATCTGGCCAATGAGATGCTAGCCTAAGTTACAATGCCAATTTGCAGAGCATGTCTTTATAAGTAATCAGCCTGCTCTCCACTTTTTCTCTTTTGAGGGCCAGGTTCAACCATGCATATGACAACAATGAACAGACGGCAAAATTTAAAAACAGAAGGAAAGTAGAATCCTGGATATCACAGAACACAGTTCCTTACCTTTGGACTCCACAGAGAAACTTTCATTTTGTTCTAGTCACTGTATGTGAGGTCCCTTTGTTATGGTAGTTTGGCCTATATCTTTTATACTTTGTACTGAGGGAGGCAATTCTCTGTGTTGCACAGATAACGTCTGGACTAATATCTCCTGCTCTGGGCTAAAAAAAAAAAAATGGTACTAGAGCACACCCAAAAGAGAACAATTTAAGATTGCTCTTAAATTGTGACTTGAAAATCATACAAACTGGAGGAAGAGTAAAGAAATTAAAAGTATTTCAAATGCATTGAACTTGAAAAGATTAAAGCAAGGACACAACACTCTTAAAATATTTGGAAGCTTATCACAGAAGAGACTTAAATAACCTCAAATAAAGGAGAAACTATAGGCAAGTCGGTATCATTATTTTTAATAGAAGTTTATTGTACATTATATACCAGCCACTTGTTCTGAACACAGATACAGCATAGTAGACCCGTTCCTGGCCCCTGGAAGCTTACAGTCTAGTAGGGAGAGGCAGACAGTAATCTAAACAAATATTATGAACTGTGACAAGTCTTTGGAATGGAATGTATAAGACCCTATGAAAGAGAACATCGGATCTTGATCTAGAAGATAGTGTTCCTCAAAGTAACATTGAGATAAAATCTATAGAACAAGTTTAAAGGTAATATAATGCCTTAAGCTTCACCCTTTTCCAGGTCTAAAAGAAAGCTAATGATGCTAAACACAGAAAACAAAGCCCAGAGAAATGAGCTGTGTGGCTGGATTATGAAGAGCTTGAATACCACACTAAGGATCATGGGAAATCACTAAAGGATTTAAAGTTGTAAAAGGAAGGTTATCACTTTGCCTTTATTTTTTTAGGGAAGAAGGGTCTTGTTTTTTCTTGTTTGTTTCTGTTTCATTTTCTCTGAGGAGTAATGAAAGAGAGACCGGCTAGCAGGTTTCTGTAATATTCCAATAAGAAACAATAAACTAAGCTAACAGGAGTGAAGGCGAATGAAAAATGGAAAAATATCTAGCAGATAAAATTGTTGGGACTTGGAGACTGGATATGACAGAAAAGAGAAAGGGATGTCACAAATGACTTCTAGGTTCTAGCTTTGTGATCAGAAGCAGAGGATGGGTAGAGAAGATATCTTCAGTTTGGAATATGATGAGCTTAAAGTATGGGGTAGGCTGAATAACGGCTCCCAAAGAAACAGATACTAACCCGGGGACTTGTGAATGAATTAAAGATTTTGAGATGGGGAGATAATCCTTGATTATCTGGTGGGCCCTAAAACACAGGTGTCTTAATAAGGAGGCAAAAGGATACCTGACTAGAGAGTGGAGAAAGCAATATAATGATGGAAGCAGAAACTGGAGTAATGCATTTTGAAGATAGAGGAAGGGCACACAAGCATGGGAATACAGATGGCCATTAGAAGCTTAAAAAGGCAAAAAAAAAAAACAAAAAAAACACCCCACCAGAAATAAACAAAAAACCCCCAGATTCTCCCTCAGAACCTTCAGAAGTTAAGAGACTAATTTGTGTTGTTTGAAGGCCCTATGCGGTTACTTGTGACAGCAGCAACAAAAAACTAATACCAAGTAACTTTGAAACACCCAAGCAGACATGTCAAGAAAGAAGCTGAGTCCAAAACCAGAAGAGGTCTGGACTGAGGATATAAATCCTAGTTAAGTAGAACTTTAGTCTTAAAAGACATTTACTAGAGAAAATATATAGAGTTGAAATAGCAGGGGTTTTAGAAAGATCCAACTTAAAAACACACACACACACACACACAAAAGGGGAAGAAAAGCTAACAAAAAAAAACATAAAGGGAGTTGTCAAGTGGTCAGAGAGGTAGCTTAAAGAGAAAACCAAGAGCACAGTATCCTGAAAGTCAAAGTAAGAAAATACTTCAACAAGAACTTGGTCCAAATGCTGCTGAAATGTCTAGCAAGATGAAGATGAAAAATGCCCACCGGTGATCCTAGCAACAAATGTTTCAGAGAAATTATGAGAGCAGAAATCAAATCGGTGTGGTCTAAGGAAAGATGAGGAAATGGAGAAAGCAAATGTAGGCAAACCTTTCAAGAACTCTGCTGTGAAAATAAGAAGGGTTGGTAGAGGAGAGGATCAAGGGAGAAATTTTCAGATAGAAACACTAAGCAAACCTCCATAGGTTGCATGAACTTTCCCACCAGCAAGCAACGTAAGAAAGGATGTATTGCCCCGCACAGGCTCATTAATAGAAACTTT